TGCACTAGAATATATTACCACAATAAAACCTTTTTGCAATTTTAAATAAAACATTTGAAAACTTTGCTCCTGTTTCGCCTCCAATCTTTTCCTTTTTCCACTTATTGTCAGGTGTCAGAAGGTTCTGGAGTCAAGCCCCATGCTGTAATTTGTTGTTGTTTGAGCTCAGAGTACAGGCTGGCACTAGAGAGCTGCATTGTCGGAGGTGCCGTCCTTCTGATGTGATGGTAAAACGAGGTTGCCTGTTCAGGCATACGTTAAAGATCCACTAATTGAAAACAGTAGGGAGTTTTTTTCCTGTCCAGCAATCCCTAAATAAAATTGGTCATTCACTTCATGGCTGTTTGTGGGACATTGCTGCATGCAAATTGGCTGCCATGTTCAAAGACAAGCACAGCGTCACTACCCTTCACAGGAAATCCTGACTCAGAAGTGAGAGTGCTAGCAACTGAGCCAGACTGACACACAACAGGCTAATTAACAGTTAGAGAAGCTAATGCTGAATCTGGATGAGGCATTGGTTAGGTCTCACTACGCAGTTTGGACAACACAGAGGAGAGCAAGAAGGAATAATCCCGAATGTCAGAGGCTGAGCTATGAGCAATGATTAGATAATTCCATTAAAAAGAGACATTTTCCACCCCACTCCCTTGGAGCAAACCCTGGACTTGTCCCCCTGGGATGTCCTCCCAACATTTAAAGCGCTATGTAAATGTAAATTTGTATTGTATTCTATCTTAGTGGAGAATTTATATAAGATTCTAAATGAGATTAGGAATGTAAACCCACAACAATCCTTTCAGATATGCCGAGGCAGCAGAACAAGGGGGCCACAGGTTCAGGGTTAAAGGACAACTTCAGGCTAGATAGCAGAAAGTATTTTATTTATATAGAGGGTAATTACAACAACAAACATTTATATAGTGCCCTTCAGGTGGGGTAGGGTCTTGGAGCACTTAACAGTGGTGGAGCTTGACACTGAGGTGGGTGGGAAAGGGGAGGTAACTGTAGGCACAGTCAAAGAGGAAAGTATTCAAATGCAATCTGATGATTGACTAGGAGGGGACAAGGCAAAGCGATTGAGTCAGAGTTCTACAGTTTCAGTATGTAGGACCTGAAAGCATGTCCGCCGATGGTGGAGCGGAGGGGATGAGGGACGTGCGGGAGACTGGTGCCAGTTGTTTGGCAGGTAGAGGAGTGGGGCAGTTAGAGGAGTGGGGTATAAATAGGACGGAGAGGTAGGGGTTGCCAGGGCATCAAGTGATTTGTAGAAGCCTAGCCAACAATCCTCCAGACAACATCTACACTATATAATAATAATCCTTGCATTTGATATAGCACCTTATCATGTTGTTGAGACATCTCAAAGCGCTTCACAGAATATACAGTAAAATAAATTGACTATATTTTGTGGGTGAAACACAGCAGCCTATTGAATACAGCCATATCTCACAGTCGTGGATTGAGTGACCAAATAATTATTATTTTTGAAGGGATTATTGAAAGGGATCTACCAATCGACTGACAACTGGGTTCCTTCTTACTGCTAGGTAAACAGGCGTGCCTAAGGTTTTGCCCTGTCTGGGATTTGAACACAGGCAGCCTCCCTCTTGCCAGGCGAGTACCAATACGCTGCAGGATTCCAATTATCTTCCAATTGCAAGGATGATTATTATTATTATTATTAATTTCATGGCTGTTTGTGAGACATTGTTGTGCACAAGTTGGCTGCCACGTTCACCTAAAAATACAGTTACTATACTGTAAATTCTGTGAAGCGCTTTACATGAAAAGTACTGTATCAAATCCAAGGATTATTATTATGACTAAGTGAATTACCACAATATTTGGAAGATTTAATTGTTAATGTTCAAACATCTTGAGGGTAGATTTCTCCACAGATCCTCTCTCCAGGGACCTAAGTTCCACTTTTCATAAGCTCTAGCTCATAGACTACACTCTCTGTTTCACTGTTGGTAATTCTTTTCATGGCTTAGGCTGACACTCCAATACAGTGATGAGGGAAGCTGCATTGTTAGAAATGTTGTCCATTCGATGAGACATTAAACGTGGAGTCCTTTAGCTCAATAGTTGGAGCACTCCTCTGGCTCTGTTCCCATTCCCCTCAAAACTGCTACCATCACTCCCACACTGAAAAAACCCTCCTTTGATGTGTCGCAGCTATCAAGCTACCGGCCCATCTCCAACCTCCCCTTCCTGTCCAAGGTTCTTGAAAAAGTCGTCGCCTCCCAGCTGCGCTCTTTCCTCTCCATCCATTCATTATTCGAAACCCTTCAGTCAGGTTTCCGTGCTGCCCATAGCACAGAAACCGCCCTGGTCAAGGTCACTAATGACATCTTGACCATCTGTGACCAGGGCTCCCTCTGCTTCCTCGTCCTCCTCAACCTATCAGCAGCATTCGATATGGTCGACCACTCTGTCCTCCTCCACCACTTGTCCTCCCACCTCAACCTTCAAGGCCCTGTTCTTGAGTGGTTTAGGTCCTACCTCTCCCACCGTCTTCATTTTGTCTCCGCTAACGTTTTTTTCTCCAGCCTCCGCACTGTCTTGTGCGGTGTCCCTCAGGGCTCTGTCCTCGGTCCCCTCCTCTTCACCTGCTGTATGCTCCCCCTGTGGTGACATCATCCGCAGACATGCGGATGACACCCAACTCTACCTCTCCTCCTCTACCCTCAACTCCACGACCACCGATGTCCTGACAGCTGCCTGTGCGACATCGAGTCCTGGACAAGAGACAACTTTCTTCAGCTCAATGTGCGCAAAACTGAGGCCCTCCTGATTGGTTCGCATCAGCGCCTCTGCACCTCAGGCGCTGACAGCATCAGCATCCAAGGCTGCACTCTCCACCTCTCAAAGCCAATCAGGAACCTCGGGGTTCTGTTCGACCCTGAGCTGTCCTTTCTTCCCCACATCCGCGCCACAACTGGTACCGCCTTCCACCACCTCCGGAACATCGCCAGACTACGGCACTACCTCACCCCTCACGCTGCTGAAACCCTGGTCCACGCCTTTATTACCTCAAGGCTGGACTATGGGAACTCTCTCCTCGCCGGCCTTCCCGCCACCTCCCTCCACAAGCTGCAGGTCATTCAGAACTCTGCAGCTCATGTACTGTCCCGCACCAGGCTTCGGGACCACATCACTCCCACCCTCGCTCGCCTCCACTGGCTCCCCATCCCCCAGAGGATCGAATTCAAGATCCTCATCCTCACCTACAAGGCCATTCACGGCCTTGCTCCCTCCTACCTCTCCGACCTACTATCCCCCTACTTACCTGCCCATACCCTCCGTTCCTCTGGCTCCGGTCTGCTCCACATCCCCCGCCCTAACCGCCCTACCATCGGTGGCCGGGCCTTCAGCCTCTCAGCCCCTAGGCTCTGGAACTCCATTCCCCAGTGCCTTCACCGCCTCCTCCCTTTCCTCCTTCAAGGCCGGTCTCAAGACCTTTCTCTTCAACCGAGCCTTCACCTCCCCTCTCGACTGTCTACCCCCTCCTCACTCCCTCCCTTCCCTCCCCTCACCCTGACCATTGCCCCCCTGCTCGGGTCCGACCCAACTGTCCAGCGCCTTGGGACGTTCTCCCGACGTGAAAGGCGCTCTATAAATGCAATCTTCTTGTTGTTGTTGTTGTTGTTTCATTCCTTGGGCAAACCTTGGGCAAGTTTGCTTACACCACACACCTGATAATAATCCCTCAAGAGAAAAAAATAATAACAATTTGGTCACTCAATCCACGACTGTTTGTGGGACACTGCTGTGTGCAATTGGCTGCCGTGTTTTACCCACAAAATATATAGTCAATTCACTGTACAGTGTATTCTGTGAAGCACTTTGAGACGTCTAGAAGACGTGAAAAGCGCTATATCAAATGCAAGTATTATTATTATTAAACTGAGCTCCCATCTGCCTGGTTAGCTGGACATTAAGGCACTTACAGCACTATTGGGGAGGAGAAGACAATTTTTCCCACGAACTGGCTAACAATCCTCCAAATAAAATCAACCATTTACTTTGTGGCTGTTTGCTGGTCAGTGTTGCAAGCAACATACACAGTCACTACACTTTACAGTGAAATGCTATAAAGTGCTTGACGACATCCTCCTATCATGAAAGGCGCTGTATCAAATCAAAGGAACCGTCAAACCTCACACTGCAATGCTACAACTATTATATATTCCTTATAATATAATAATAATCCTTGCATTTGACGTCTTCTAGACATCCCAAAGCACTTCACAAAATGTACTGTAAAGTGAATTGACTATATATTTTGTGGCAGCCAATTGCGCACACCAGTGTCCCACAAACAGTCGTGGATTGAAGTGACCAATTTAATTTTTTTTTCTTGAGGGATTATTATCAGGCATGTGTAGTAAGGAAACTTGCCCAAGGTTTTGCTCTGCCAGCATCGAACTCAGGTTTCTCGCTTGCTAGGCGAGTGCTCTAACTACTGAGCTACAGGATTCCTTCCCTGTTTAGATCATAAGAATATAAGAATTGCTAGATGAAAGAAGACCAAGATCCATCCAGTTTGCCTTCCAACTGTCATATCCCAGATTATATACTGTATCCTGAGAAATTATTTCCTAAAATAAATCTAATTTGTTCTTAGTTCTTCAAAGATACATGTTAAAAAGTCTCTCCCAAGTTATTACCTGTATTCAGTTCCAATGTAAAGCCGTTATTTTCCGACTGTTTTTTTGCGCTCGGATTACACTTTACTCTGTCAAATGTTAGCATGTTGGCAGTACTTTCCTGAATCAATGCATCACTCGCCAGCAGATTAAACTCACTGAATGAGGGGCCTAATCCTCCCAAATCCCTCCCAGCAATTCCTTTGTCAGGCCGTCTGCGTGAACTACAAAGCCACTGAATCAGCAGAACGTATTTCCCAATGGTTTTGTTTGTCCAGCAAAACTTTTCAGCCTCATGTTGCAATTTTATTGATGAGCAAGTCTCGCGAGAGAGATGCTCATGGCCCCAGGAGTATATATTGGGGTGTCCAATTTTTCTTTGGTGTCAAAGCATTCTGGCATTTAGTTCTGTTGGACACAATCCAGTAGCAACATGTCACAGTATTCTGGCAAGGTGAGTAGCCAGCAAATTCACTTCTGTTCTTTTTTATTTGAAAACTTTACTATTGATACTAGGAATGAGGGACTTCAGTTATGTGGAGAGACTAGAGAGGCTGGGATTGTTCTCCTTAGAGCAGAGAAGGTTGAGGGGAGATTTAATAGATGTGTTCAAACTTATGAGGGGTTTTGATAAGAATAAATAAGGAGAAGTTTCCACTAGTGGGTGGTCTGGAACACACTGCCTGAAAGGGTGGTGCAAGCAGATTCATTCAACAATAACTTTCTAAAGGGAATTGTATATATACTTGAAAAGATAAATAAAAATTGCAGAGCTATGGGGAATGTGGTGGTGGTTGGGGACTATTCGGTAGCTCTTTCAAAGAGCCGACACAGGCATGATGGGCCAAATGACCTCCATCTGCGCTGTAAGAATCTATGATTCTATTGTTTATAATATAGATATGATACGCAGAGCAAATTTTGCTCAGGCATAGAACGTTTGCAGAGTGTTGTAAATGGACTTTGCTCAGATCATCAGCACAGTTACTGTTAAGAGCTACTCCTTTGACAACTTGTGTTCAATTTGGCTTCAGTACGGACTGTGATGGGAGTAATTGGAGAGTAGAGGGGGTGGCTAATTTAACAGATTTTTGTTTTGGTCAGGTGGGTGTCTGACGCATATGAAAACCCATCATCAACCTCCAAACTAGACTGAGAGTCCCAAATACGTTTGTCATCTACGCATGGAAATTCCCATGTGTCTGGAATGGAATCCAATGAGACAATCCCACTTACCTAATTCTGAGAGTATCAGGGGCAGGTTGGCAAGAGCCAAGGCTTGGGGATCCCAGAGAGTGTGTTGGGGTACTGTAACTCTTTCTCAAAGCGTTTCACAGAATATACTGTAAAGTGAATTGACTGTATATTTTGTGGGCGAAACATACCGTCCCCCATCACAGCATCAAGCTGCTTTTTAAATAATATCAGCCTGGCTCAGTTGGTAACACTCTCGCCTCTGAGTCAGAAGGTTGTGGGTTCAACCCCCACTTTGGGGACTTTGAACTCACACAGTTCACACCGGCTGCATCGGTGGTGGGGGTGGGGGGAGAGTGATGCAGAGTTGAGTGCTGATGAGAGAACACAACAAATTGCATTTATATAACGTCTTTCACATCGGGAGGATGTCCCAAGGCGCTGGACAGTCAAGAGTTTGCCCCTGAGCTGTGGGCTGAAATCAAGAGGGGTGGAGAGCAAGGTGGGTGGTGATGGGAAGATGACCAAAGGCACTTTCGAAGAGGAACGTCTTGAGATGGGCCTTGAAGGAGGCAAGAGAGGGGGCAAGGTGGATGTGCTCCAGGATGGAGTCAGAAGGTGGTTACAAAAAGGCTAAAGGTCCAACATTCGATGGTGAAGTGGGCAGGGCTGGGGTCGTGGAGCAGGCCAGTATCTGCTGAGTGGGGGGAGCGAACAGGTTGGTAAGGTTTTAGGAGGTCCTAGAGGTAAGGCGTAGCAAGACCGTGGAGACCTTTAAAGCTAAGGACATAGATTTTATGAATCCTCTGGGAGATGGGGAGCCAGTGAAGGATGGAGGTGATTGGTGTTAATCTAACATCCCTCCTGCCTGTTCAGGTTAAAGATGTTAAAGATCCCGTGGCACTATTCAAAAATAATTTCTCCTGGAGTCCTGGGGAACCATCGACTAGATAAAATCATTCATCCACTGCATGGCTGTTTGGTTTTTGGATATTGGTTTTACGCAAATTGGTTGCTGCGTTCATCTACAAAACACACAGTTACCTTACAGGGAATCCTGTGAAGTGACTTGAGACATCTTCCTGATGTGAAAGGCCCTGTATCAAATGCAAAGATTATTATGATTATTTTTATGTTGAATGTTAGCCTTATATAATGTTAGCTCCATATATTGTCAGCTCATTGGGACCAATGAAATGTCTTCTCTCAGCAACAGCTTCAAACTGTTCTCTGAGGCTACTGCAATACATAGAATTACATAGACTGTACAGCACTGATTTGGTTACTTAAACATGGTGAATGGTTCTGCACGTAGCTGACTTCCCAAAAAACAATGAAACAGGCCATTTGGCCCAACTAATCCATTCCAGTGTTTATACTCTGGAGTGCTGTAGCGTAGTCGGTAACGTGCTAGCCTTGCAAGCAAGAAAACCTGGGTTTGATTCCCGGGCGGGGCAAAACCTTAAACAAGTTTCCTTACTCCACACATCTCTGTTTACCTAGCAGTAAGCAGGAACTCAGTTGTTAGTCAATTGGTGGATTACTTTGCAAGGGTAATAATCCATCAAAAAAAATGTGGTCACTCAATCTACAACTGTTTGTGGGCATCTCTGTGCGCAATTGGCTGCTGCGTTTCGCCCATAAAATATACAGTCTTTACAATATATTTCCTTGAAGAACTTTGAGACATTTCAATGACATGATAAGGTGCTATATCAAATGCAAGGATGATTATTCTCCACACAATCCCTTATCCGTCCTGTTCCCCTCTCCTGTACCCCTCCATGTCCTTCTCCCTCATTTATGCATTGAGTTTCCTCTTAAACTTATTGACACTTTCTGCTACAAATCACAGCTTCTGACAGTATGTTCTACATTTTACCTCAGCCTCAGCCACGTTCATTTTAAATTCTCTTTTACATCTGCTACTGGCTATTGTACGCTTCTTTAGTTTAGGCCTCACCGACAAGTGGACACAGCCTATTTATGGCTATTGATGTAGGGGGGGATCTACCTTCAGAAACAGAGAATGATAGTTATAGCAGGACAACCAAGCTCCACTAGGTGCAGGAACTCCAATTCCATGGATTCCTAGGAGGATTCTCAAACACCAAGCCAGAGAGGCGTAGAAATTTACAGCAACACCACTTTACAGTATATCCTGTGAAATGTTTTGAGACATCTCGATGACATAAATAAGGCACTGTAGCAAATAGAAGGCTTATTATTATTTTACGTTATTCACTGACCATGAGCCAATCTCATAATATCAGCTCACAGGAATTCTTTTCTTTCTTACACAAATCTGCCCCTTTTCGCCCACAAATATACAGTCAATTCACTTTACAGCATATTCTGTGAAGCGCTTTGAGACGTCTAGAAGACGTGAAAAGCACTATATCAAATGCAAGGATTATTATTATTATTAAATCCTTCATCATCATCTCTCTTTCTGTCTGTCTCACTGTTTCCCTCAGTCTCTCTCTGTGTCTCCATCTCTGTCTCGTTCTGTCTTTCTCTCTCTTGTTCTGTCCCTCACATTTCTCTCTCCCTCTGTCTCTCGCTCTGTCTCTCTCATTTCTCTCTTACTCTCTCTCTGGCTCTCTGTTCCACTCTCTCTCTCTTTCTGGATCTACCTCTTTCTCTCTCTCTGAGTCTCACTGTATCCGCTCAGTCTCACTCTGTCTCCTCCCTCTTTCTGTGTGTTTCACTATCTTTCTCTTTCACTGTCTCTCTCTTCCTCTCTTCTCTCTGCCACTCTTTTCTCTCTCTATCTGTTTAGCTCTCTATCTCTTATTGTCTCTCTTTTACTATCTCTCTCTATCTCTCACTGTCTCTGCCTCTCTCCATCTCTCACTGTCTCTCTCTCACCGTCTCTCTCTGCCTATCTATCTCTCACTCTCTCTCTATATATATATCTTTCTCCCACTCCCTCTCTCTCTCTCTATGTCTCAATCTGTCTCTCTCTGTCTGTCTCTCTCTCTGTCTTACTCTCTCTCTTTCTGTCTGTCTCTGTCTCTTTCTATCTCTCACTGTCTCCCTATCTCTCACTCTCATTCACACTCTCTGTCTCTCTCTCTCTATCAGATCGTTTTCTATGAGGGGAAATGCTTCACTGGTCGGAAGCTGGAGGTGTATGGTGACTGCGACAACTTCCAGGACAAGGGTTTCATGAACAGAGTCAACTCCATCCGCGTGGAGAGCAGTGCCTGGATCTGCTATGATCACCCTGACTTCAAGGGCCAGCAGTACATCCTGGAGCGGGGCGAGTACCCCGAGTTCCACCGCTGGAACGCTCACAACGACCACATGGGCTCCTGCAAGCCTGTGAGAATGGTAGGTCAGACCCTCCGGGGAGTGGGGGAGAGGGTTGTGATCTGTTGGTTGACACCATCCCCCAGAACGTTTCACACACAAAATACACAGTCGATCCACTTTACAGTATATTCTGTGAAGCGCTTTGAGACGTTACAACTAAGTGATAAGGTGCTATATCAAATGAAAGGATTATTATTTTATTCTCTCCCAGCCTGTTCTCTTCCTTCTCTCTCTACTCTCTTCCATCTCTTCCTCTCCTTCCCTCCCTTCCTCTCCTCTCTCTCGCCTCACTTCCCTCTATTCCTCTCCTCCCTCTATTCTGCCTTCCTCTACTCCCTCTACTCTCCTTCCTATCTATGCCCCTTAATAATAATAATACTCCTTGCATTTGATATAGTGCTTTTCACGTCTTCTCGTCATTTCCAAGCTCTTCACAGAATAAACTGTAAAGCGAATTGACTGTACATTTTCTGGGCGAAATGTGGCAGCCAATTGCGCACAGCAGTGTCCCACAATCAGTCGAGGATTGAAAGTGACCAATTTATTATTGTTTTGTTTTGGAGGGATTATTATTAGGCGTATGGAGTAAGGAAACTTGCCCAAGGTTTCGCCCTCTGCCTGGAATTGAACTCAGGTGTCTCACTTGCAAGGCGAGTGCTCTAACCACTGAGCTACAGGACTCCTTCCTCCCTCTCCTCCTTCCCTCCACTCCCGCCCCTACCTTACTCCCTTCCTCGTTCTGAAGTGCTCTGAGATGCTACCCCAGGTGAAAGGCACCATATAAATGCAAGCTGTTGTTGTTGTTCCCTCCTTCTATCTACCTCTCTGTCGCATCTGCTTAGTATGTCCTTAAATACTGCCTTAAACCCTCCCTCCTTGATCCGCACGAATGACTGATGCTGTGAACTCTCTCCTCTGACTCGTTTTCTGTCCCCAGCATGGCGAGCATTACAGAATAGAACTGTTTGACACCTGCAACTTCACTGGCCAATGCATGGAGTTCTGTGAGGACTGCCCATTCCTGCAGGGCAGAGGCTGGAATAAGACCTGTGTGAACTCCCTCAAGGTTTACGGCGATGGAGCGTAAGTACTGTATAGACAGCCATTTCTTGAACGAAAGAGCCACTTAAGTCATTACTTGGGTTTTTGTAGAGATTGTAGGTCGGTGGGAGGGTAGTGGAAATCTGTAACTCACTCCACCAGAAGCAGTGTCTGGATTTTCTATGATCACCCTGAATTCAAGGGCCAGCAGTACATCTGGAGCAGGGCGAGTACCCCGAGTTCCACTGCTGGAACTTGAGCAGAGAACCCAGCAGGACTTCAGCAGGGAGCCCAGCAGCGTGAGGAGGGAATTGAGTGAGGTGGAACAGAGTGAGAATCCTGTTAAGGAATTTGGTGAGAGTGGGAATTCAGTACAGAGGGGGAACGAGGTGCATAATTATAAAATATGCTAAAATAATACAAAACATGTCTGAGAATATGGCAGGGTAGCTGAGACCGGATGCATGCACAATGTGTGTCATGTATGAACTCCAGGATGCTTTGTGTGCCCTGGACAGACACGTGTGTAGATAGTGCCTCTGGCTGCAAGAGCTTTAGTTCAGAGTTTCTGAGCTTGAGGAGAGGCTGGTGTCATTCCATAACATACGGGAGGCTGAAAAGTACATGGATGAAATGTTTCAGGAGGTGGTCACCCCACAGCCACCTCTGGGGAGGGGAGTCAAAAACAAATGGATGCACACGGGGACCCATGGAAGCATGTCAATGTGATTGTCAAGGGGACACAATGGTGAAAGGAGTAGATAGGCACTTCTGCAACCAAAGACGTGACTCTCGGATGGTATGTTGCCTCCCTGGGACCAGTTCTGGGGCAGGTGGGATCTGTACAAGGCGGATGGGTTACACATGAATAGGGCTGGGACCAATGTCCTTGCAGGGAGGTTAACTGGTGCTGTGGGAAAGGTTTACACTAATTTTGAGGCGGGAAGGGAATCAGGATGTAGCATTAGGGAGGACAAAAAAGTTACATAGAGGGCTGGGAGAGACGAATAGCAATGTAATAAGGAGTAATCCAGAAAAAGGAGGAACTAGACAGGGGAGAAATGCAGACAGGCTATGTCAGTCTTGGAGTGCATGTGTGTAAATGCACGGAGTGTGACAAATAAGGTTCGTGAGTTGCAGGCTCAAGTTGTCATATGATGTAGTGGCAATAACAGAGGCTTGGCTCAAAGAAGGGCAGGAATGGGAGCTGAATATTCCTCGCTACAATGTATTCACTAGGGATAGGGAAGGAAAACAAGGAAGGGGGACTGGCAATATTGATTAAAAACACTGTTATGGCCCTGGAAAGGGACAATGTGCTAGATGGTCCCAAAACAGAATCTATTTGATTAGAGTTAAGGAGCAGAAAAGGAGCTGTTACTCTCTTATGTGTATACTAAAGGCCACCAAATAGTGGGAAGGAGATAGACGAGGAAATCTGTAAGCAGATTTCAGAAAGATGTAAAACCAATAGAGCAGTGATAATGGGGGACTTCAATTATCCTAACATAGACTGGCAAAATAACAGTGTAAAGGCCAAGAGGGGGAAGGATTTCTGAAATATGTGCAGAATAACTTTCTGGATCAGTATGTTTCCAGCCCAACGGGAAGGAAGCAGTGTTGGATTTAGTTCTGGGGAATGAAGTGGGGCAAGTGGAGCAGGTTTCAGTATGAGAGCATCTGGACAACAGTGATCACAACATCCATCATTAGGTTTAGAGTACTTATGGAAAGGGACAAGAAACAATCAAAGGTGAAGATACTCAACTGGAAGAGGGCTAATTCCAGTGAGTTAAAAAAAGAGCTAGCTAAGGTGGACTGGAAAGAAAGCTTAGCAGATTAAACAACTAATGAGCAATGGGAAACCTTCAAGGAGGAGATAGTTTAAGAACAGAACAAATACATTCCCACAATGGGGAAAGGTAGGGCATCCAAACCTCCCTGGATGAATAAGGAAATTCGGATTAAAATAAAACAGAAAAGGAGGCTTATGATAAATGTCAGGTCCAAAATACAGAAGATAATCAAATAGAATACAGAACTGATAAAGGAAATAAAAGGGCCCCAAAGAGACAGTATGAGAAAAGATTAGCGGGTAACATAAAAGGGAACCCTAAGGTATTTTATAAACATATAAAGAATAAAAGGTTAATCAAAGGTAGGGTGGGTCCAATTAGGGGACAAAGAGGAAATCTTCTTGTGGAGGCAGAGGGCATGTGTTAAAAAAAAAAGTGTACAGGACTCTTGGCTTTGTAAATAGGGGCATAGAATACAAAAGTCAAGAAGTTATCATAAACCTTTATAAAACACTGATTAGGCTTCACTAGAGTGCTGTCTTCAGTTCTGGACACCACACTTTAGGAAGGATGTCAAGGCATTGGAGAAGGTGCAAAGGAGATTTACCAGGATGGTACCTGAGATGAGGGACTTCAGTTATCAGGAGAGGCTGGAGAAGCGAGGATTATTCTCCTTGGAGCAGAGAAGGTTAAGAGGAGACTTGCTAGAGGTTTTCAAAATTATGAGGGGATTTGATATGGTGAACAAGGAGAAACTATTTCCACTGGCGATTGGGTAGGTAACCCAAGGACACCGATTTAAAATAGTTGTTAAAAGAAACAGAGGGGAGGTGAGAAGAATTTTTTTTACACAGCGAGTTGTTGGGATGTGGAATGCGGTGCCTGGGTGGTGGAAGCCGATTCGATAACAGTTTTTACGAGAGAAGTAGATAATTATTTGGGGAGGACAAGTTTGCAGGGCTATGGGGAGAGAGAGGGGGAGTGGGATTGAATTCGATAGCTCTTTTCAAAGAGCCGGCACAGACACTATGGGCTCAATGGCCTCCTTCTGTGCTGTATAATTGTTTGATACTATGATTCTATGAAACGTCTGCGATGCCGGGTCAATAGAAATTTTCAAGACATGATCTGACAGAATGGCAGAGCAGGCTCAAGGGCCGAATAACCTATATTCCTATTTTAGGAGGAAAGTGCCCTGTGTCAGTTTGGCTCAGCTGATAGCAGCACTGCATCCCACCTACACATGGAAATTCCAGACATAGATTGTTGGAATGGAATGTGCACTCTCTCCATGGAGGAAAGCATCCTGCTTGCCTAATTCCAAAATGTATTAGGCATAGGTTAGCAAAAAAAGATGGTTCATGGTAATCAATAATAAAGATGAATATTTTCCTTTTATTCCTCTACCCTCCCCCAACCCTTCCAATCCACAGCTGGGTTCTGTATGAAGAGCCAAACTATCGCGGCAGAATGTACATCGTGGAGAGAGGATACTATCATTCCCACTCGGTGTGGCAGAGCCAAAGTGCCAACATCCAGTCCATTCGCAGAGTGGTCAATTACTTCTAGTGAGATAGACAAAGAGAATCATCTCATCCCTCCTGCCGAAATCAAACTTGAACCTTCAAAATAAATAAAACATAACAGCATGTTTTGAAAAAGAGAATATCGCCCCAGTTTGTGAGTGTGTCGTTTCATATTCAAATCACCAATACAATACAATTCACATTTATACAACAATAACAGTAAATTGCATTCACATCAAGAGGATGTCCCAAGGTGCTGGACAATGAGGGGTTTGCATCTGAGCTGTGGGTTGGGATCAGCGAGGGGTGGTTGGCAGTGGGGTGGTGGTGGTGGAGGGGGGAAATTGACCAAAGGTACAGTCGAAAATGAAGGGCTGGAGACATGCCTTGAAGGAGCCAAGGGAGGGGATGAGGCTGAGGGGCTCCAGGATGGAGATCCAGAAGGTGGCGGCAGAAAGGCTGAAGGCCCAACCACTGATTGTGGAGCAGGCAGTGGAGGACATGAGGCAGGGCAGTGCCTGAAGAGCAGAAGAAGCGGACAGATTGGTGAAGTTTTAATAAGTTGCAGAGATAGGCACAAGCTAGCCCGTGGAAGGATTTAAATGTGAGGATGAGGATCTTGAACTCGATCCTCTGGGGATGGGGAGCCATTGAAGCTGGGCAAGGATGGGGGTGATTGGTTCACAAAGTTTGGTGCTTGAGGCCATGAGCTGCAGAGTTCTAAATAATCTGCAATTTGTGGATGAAAGAGTTGGGACGTACAGCAAATGGGGAGATAGCATAGTCAAGTCTGTAGGTAATGAAAGCATAAATGAGGGTTTCAGCAGTCGTTCACATTGGGAGGACGTCTCAAAGCACTCAATTATGCTAAGCCAAGGTCCTCTCGCTGCCCTGAAGGCAGATGTGTGTCAAATAGCCGACATTGAAACTCTGAGGCTAGGGAGGACAACTGGTGGAAGGGGCTACCTGGAATCTGGGTTTGTGAACACAAGGCCATATGAACAGGGCTTGGAATCCACCTTGATTGGTGCACAACAGCTGTTGTTCAAGCTCAGCTTGAGCTCCTGCTTCTCAGGGAGAGAGGACGTATTCCATTACAGACATGTTTCTTTCAGCCACTGCACCCCAAATTTCTGGTACTTCCTACCTCCATCCTTCCATATTGCCCCTTCTTTGGCCATCTTGAAATCGCACCTGAAGACCTTCCTTTTCACCCGTGCCATTGGTTACCTCCCCTCTCTTTCCTGTTTGGCATCAAGCCGTGCTGCTGTTAAACGCTCTGAGACGTGATATAAATGCAAGTTGTTGTTGTTGACACAGGGACATTTTCATGTGACAGTTATATTTCCTTGCATCCTCAAAAAACTTCCTTGGACCCATCCCTGCTCTCAAATTACCACCCCATCTCCAACCTCCCTTTCCTTTCCAAGGTCCTTGAATGAGTTGTTGCTTCCCAGCTATGCTCCTTCCTCTCCTACCACCTCCTATACAAACCCCTCCAATTGTCACCAAAATGCTGCCTACAGCACAGAAACAGCCTTGGTCAAAGTGACAAATGACTTACTGTCCATCTATGACCAGGGCTCCCTCTGTCTTGTCCTCCTCCTCCTTGACCTCTCTGCTTTCTTTGATACAATTGACCATTCTATCCCACTCCACCACCTCTCCTCTCACCTCAACCTTCGTGGTTCTGCCCTTGAATGGTTCAGATCCTATCTCTCACACTGACTCCACTTTGTCCCCACAAACAGTTGCTCCTCCAATCCCCGCACCACCTCGTACAGTGTTCCTCAGAGCTCTGTCTTTGGTCCTCTCCACTTCAACTTGGTCAACTTCCACATGTATGCGGATGACTCCCAACTCTATCTCTCTGCCTTCATCCACAACTTCAGTACTACTGCTGTCCTGACAGACTGTCTGTCAGATATCAAGCCCTGGATGAGAGCCAATATTCTACTGTTGAACGTCAACAAGACCAAGGCTCGCCTGATTGGCTCCAGTCAGCGCCTCCTCACTTCAGGCGCTGACAGCATCACCATCCATGGTTGCACACTCCACCTCACTGAGCCAGTCTGGAACCTTGGCAACCTGTTCGATCTTAAACTGTCCTTGATCCCCCACAACCGTGCCATGACCTGCTCCGCCTTTCCCCACTTCCACAATATCGCCCGGCTCCGCCACTTCCTCTCATCACAGGCTGTCGAGACCCTCATCCACACATTCATCACATCCAGGCCCGACTACACAAACTCCCTGCTTGTCGGCCTCCCAAACGCTTCCCTCCTCTGGCTGCAGATCATCCAGAACTCTGCAGCTCGTATCCTCTCCCATACCAGGCTCCACGACTCTATCACCCCAATCCTCAACCAGCTCCACTGGCTCCCCAGCACTCAGAAGATACAGTTCAATATCCTGGTCCTCACCTTCAAAGCCCTCCATTCCCTTGCTCCTCCCTACCTCTGTGACCTCCTAACACCCTACCAACCTATTCGCTCCCTTCTCTTAGCGGGCTCCAGCCTGATTCACGGCCCCGCCTCGCCTGCCCCACCATTGATGGGCGTGCCTTCAGCTTCTCTGTTCCCACCTCCTGGAATCCCAACCCACATTCGCTCTGCCTCGCCCCCTTCCCTGCCTCCTTCAAGACCCGTCTCAAGACTCTCCTCTTCAACTGTGCCTTTGGTCATTCTCCTACACCTATCCTCCTTGCCCTCCACCCCTCTTGATCCCAAGCACCAGCTTGGGTGGGGATCCCTGACTGTCCAGCGCCTTGGGATCTCCTCCTGATGTGAAAGGCGTTTTACAAATATAATCTGTTGTTGTTGTATCTCCCTTGTTGTATCTCCCTTCTGGTTTCTGAATGGAATAGATTTTTGTTTGCTAATGTTCTGATGAAGGTTTCCTCTTATTTAGTCTCTTCTTTTATTTTCCTCGCTCCCTTTTTCCTTCCTTCTCTTTTCCCGTCTTGGAAACTTCTTCTTCTATCTTCTTCCTCTCCCATTACTGCAGCAGACCATAAGTAATCAGGCTGTGTCAGAGAACAAAGATAAAAGAGGTTGATGATCTGTCAAAATGTTTTTTGCCTTGTGATGATGCCGATTGAAGTCAATTTAATGTTAGTTGACTGTAAATTACAGAATGAGTGCACGATGGAGAAGCCAATGAAAGGCAACTAAATTGGGTGGAAGCATTTCAGTTTTTTGACTGGTTATTAAATGAGGACTTGAAAATTATTGATGATAAGGCAACCTTTCTAATCTAGGTAGGAAGTTGTGACTGAATTTAAATGTTTACCAGAAACTAATTGAGAAATATTCTGGCCTTAATCTCAGTTATTCATAACTAATTTGTTTTGTCTAAATTCTTACAATAACACGCAGAGGTAAATAGGCTGATACCTAATATTTGTGCTTTTATCAAATAAGGTCACACAAGAATGGCAGAGTAAAATATTGCAAAAACAATCAATTTCTGCATTAATGAAAGTGAAACACACAACATTATTCAGTGGCCTCATAATTATACAATAATAACTCTTGCATTTGATATTGTGCCTATCACTTTGTTGAGATATCTCAAATGTTTCACAGAATATATTGTAAAGTGAATTAACTGTGTATTTTGTGGGCAAAACACGGCAACTAATTACTCACAGCACTGTCGCACAAACAGTTGTAGATTGAGTGATCAAATGTATTTATTTATTTTAGGGATTATTACCCCCTACTAACAACTGGGTTCCTACTTACTGCTAGGTAAACAGATGCTTGTGGAGTAAGCAAACTTGCCAAAGGTTTTGCTCCGCCTGGGAATCCAATTATTTGCCAACCACGATGCTACGGTCCTCTACAAAGTGGAGTCATCACGGCAAAAGTGCATACATTATGTCTTTCAATGCAATAACTTTTGTCTCAATACAAACACCCCATTCTCCTTGCTTTGTGTGCCCTGGACAGACACGTGTGCCTCAGATAGTGCCTCTGGCTGCAAGAGCTTTAGTTCAGAGTTTCTGAGCTTGAGGAGAGGCTGGTGTCATTCCATAACATACGGGAAGCTGAAAAGTACATGGATCAAATGTTTCAGGAGGTGGTCACCCCACAGCCACCTCTGGGGAGGGGAGTCAAAAGCAAATAGATGCACACGGGGACCCATGGAAGCATGTCAATGTGATTGTCAAGGGGACACAATGGTGAAAGGAGTAGATAGGCACTTCTGCAACCAAAGACGTGACTCTCGGATGGTATGTTGCCTCCCTGGGACCAGTTCTGGGGCAGGTGGGATCTGTACAAGGCGGATGGGTTACACATGAATAGGGCTGGGACCAATGTCCTCCCGTGGAGGTTAACTAGTGCTGTGGGGAAAAGTTTAAACTAATTTTCAGGGGGGAAGGGTATCAGGATGTAGTATTAGAGAGGACAAACAAGTTACATAGAGGTCTGGGAGAGACAAATAGCAATGTAATAAGGAGCGAATAGACGGGGGAGAAATGCAAAACATACTAAGTTGGTCTTGGAGTGCATGTGCGTAAATGCACGGAGTGTGACGAATAAGGTTGGTGAGCTGCAGGCTCAAGTTGCCACATGGGGTTATGATGTAGTGGCGATAACAGAGATCTGGCTCAAACAAAGGCAGGAATGAGAGCTGAATAATTCCGGCTACAATGTATTCAGGAGGGATAGGGAAGGAAAAAAAGGAAGGGGGTGGGTAGCAATATTGATTAAAGACATGTTACGGCCCTGGAAAGGGACGATGTGCCAGAGGGTCCAAAAACAGAATCGACATTAGAATACATTAGAATATACAGCACAGCAACAGGCCATTCGGCACAACTGGTCTATGCCGGTGTTTATGCTCCACATGAGCATCCTCCTGCCCTTCCTCAACTAAGCCTTCAAGCATAACCTTCTCTTCCTTTCTCCCTCATGTACCTATCTAGCTTTTCCTTATGCTATTTGCCTCAACAACTCCTTGTGGTACCACGTTCCCACTACTCTCTATGTGAAGAAATTTCTTCTAACTTCCCTATTTGATCTATTTGTGGTTATTTTATATTGATGGCCCCTGGTTTTAGTCTCCCCCACAAGTGGAAATATCTTCCCTACGTCTCAAAACTTTTCATCATTTTAAAGACCTCTATCAGGTCACCC